TGGCTTGGTAGTGACAAATTCTCTCAGCATTTATCTGGAAAAGACTGTATCTTTCCTTCATTTATGAAGCTTAGTTTCACTGGATACCTAGCTGATAATTGTTTAAGGAGGCTAAAAATAGGTCTCCAATCCTTTCTAACTTGTAGGGTTTCTGCTGAGAAATGTGCTATTAATCTGATAGGTTTTCCCTTATCGGTTATGTAATATTTTGCCTCACAATTCTTAAGATTCTTTCCGTTGTCTTGACTTTAGATAACCTGATGACTATGTGCATGAGTGATGATCTTTTTGCCATGAACTTCCCAGTTGTTCTTTGAGCTTCTTGTTATTCGGATGTCTAGATCTCTAGCAAGGCTGGGGAAGTTTTCCTTGATTATTCCCTCAAATATGTTTTCCAAACTTTTAGATTTCTCTTCTTCCTCAGGAACACCAATTATTCTTAGGTTTGGGCGTTTATTTCAAACTTCTTGGAGGCTTTGTTCATTTTTTAAAATTCTTTTTTCTTTGTCTTTAATGGATTGGGTTAATTCAAACGCCTTGTTTTAGAGTTCTGAAGTTCTTTCTTCTTATTGTTCGATTTTATTCCTGAGGCTTTCCAGTACATTTTGCATTTCTCTATGTGTGTTCTTGATTTCCATAGTTGTGATTGTTTTTATTTATGCTATTTCACTGAAGAATTTTCCTTTCTTATCCTGTATGATGCTTGTAATTTCTCTAAGTTAAATTTCACCTTTCTCTGGTTCCTTCTTAATTAGCTTCATAATCCACTTTCTGAATTCTTTTTCTGGCAATTCAGAGATTTCATCTTGGTTTGGATCCATTGCTGGTGAGCTGGTATGATCTTTTGTGGTGTTAAAGCAACTTGTTTTGTCACATTACCAGAATTGTTTTTCTGGTTCCTTCTTATTTGGGTAGACTATATCACAGGGAATATCTAGGGTTCAAGGGTTGCTGTTCAGATTACTTTGTCCCATTGGGTGCTCCCTTGATGTGGTATTCTCCTGCTTCCGCTGTGAATGGGGCTTCCTAAGAGCCAAAGTGTAATGATTGCTTTTGCTTTTCTGGATCTTGCCACCCAGTGGAGCTACTGGGCTCCAGGCTGGTACTGGGGGTGACTGCAAAGAGAACTGTGATGTGATCTATCTTAAGGTCTTGCAGCTGTGGATACCAGCACCTGCTCTGGTTGAGGTAGCGGGGGAGTGAAGTGGGTTCTGTGAGGGTCTTCAGTTTTTCTGTGTTTCTTCTAAGATACGTTTGCCTAGCCTGAAGTTAGACTTTCTTCTCTGTTTTCTTCTAGAAGTTTTATAGTTTTAGATTTTAGACATAAGTCTATGACTCGTTTCAAACTAAATTTTATATACGATGTAATGTAGAGGTTAAAGTTCATCTTTGTTTTTCATTATGATGTCCATTTCTGAAAACAATCATTTAACCTATGGAATTACCTAAGCATCTTTGTTGAAGATCAACTGACTGCATAGGTATGATCTAGTTCCAAACTCTGTACTGTTCCATGTATGTAGACATCTTTTTATGCTAATACCACACTGTCTTAGTTAATGCAGATTTGTGGTCAGTCTTGCAATTAGGTAGTGTAAATTCTATAAAATTTTGGAAAATTGTTTTGGCAATTGTAACTGTAATTTTATAAAAATTTTAGAATGAATATAACAATTTATATGGTTAAAAAAAAAGAGTCCAGGGGATTTTGATTAGAATTGCTATGAATATATGAATAAATTTGGGAATAGTGGATATCTTAATATTGTGTCTGCCAGTGTGAATGTATTTATCAAGTATTTAAATATTTTCATAATATTGAAAATGGTATATTTTAAATTTCATTTTGCAATTGATGACCTTAGTACATAAAAATATGATTTATATTGACCTATTCTGTGGCACATCAAAATTTTAGCATTATTTCTAGTATCTTGGATGATTTAACTTTCTGCCAGAGAGGATTTGCTTCTGACAGCTAGGGCATTAGTAGTTCTAGATTATTTTAGTACATTAGGAATTCTTATGATTCAAAGCTGGACTACAGCTCCTAAATAAGTGATCAATTTCCATTTTAACCTTATTCTTGGGGTAGAGTACTCTGGGGTTACGACTTAAAGGCTGAGGATTGAGGCTTATCAGAGGAAACTTCCTGCTGGTATACTGAATTCCAATTTCCAGTCTCCATTAATTTGGAGGGGCTTTTAACAAGGTGTTCCCTCACTTCTTTTGAGTTTCCTTTTCTTGACTAATTTTTCATTGTGTTTTTAGCTTCCATTGTCTTGAAGTAGATACTCTTTATGTTTTCTTCAGATCTAAGTTTAGTCCACCATTATCAGAGACTTACAATTTATTATTTAAATATAAACATGAGTACTTCTTCTGAATTATTATCCCATCTATTTGCCTTCTTTGAAAGATCACTTGAAACCACTGAAGTAACATTTAAGTTATATTAACATTCTAAAGCTCTTTAAAAAGATACCTCTAAATATGTATCTATTCTCAGTACTCTACTATTTTAGTGCCAAGGTTTGCCAAAGAATACAAGGACTTCTTCATAGCCTTAACTATGATTTTGCAAATTATTATTTACCTTCCCTAGTTGCATTCATAATAACCTATACACATATTTTATTTCTCTATCTATATGTTTAATTTATATTTGTGTTACTCATGGAGGGTGTCCAGGTTCTTGGCACTTTGAACAAAGAATTGAACAAAATGTGCAAAGAAAGGAAAGAATGAAGCAGCATAAGAAGAGATTTATTGAAAACCAAAGTGTACATTCGACACAGTGGGAGTGGGCCTGAACAAGCAGCTCAAAAACCTGGTTACAGAATTTTCTAGGGTTTAAATACCCTCTAGAGGTTTCCCATTGGTTACTTGGTGTACACCCTGTACAGTTGGAGAGGATAAAGTGAAGTTACAACGTTATTTACTTGGTGTATACCCTAAGCAAATGAAGAGGATGTTTCTTGACACAGCTGAATTGAAGTTACAAAGTTATATACTTGCTCTAGAAAGTTGAAGTTTTTTTCCATTTGATTTAGTTCTAGGAGGTCCTTAGGTTCCCTGCCTCTGGACTTGAGTTTTTCTTGCCTCTTTGTATAATAATTTCAGAAGTCCATAAGCATGTGTTAATTACAAATTTAGCAACTTCAAAACTAGCTGAACTTGGCTTTCAACTCCTGTTTTGCTTAATGCAGTAAACTTAATTCTCCAATTCAGCAAATTATGGATTGTTTTGTTAGTCTTCATGTGGTAAATTCACACTCGATTCCAGACTTTCTTCTTAGCATCTTGGTCTCTCTGGGGACTACAAATATCCCAGGAAGTTATGCATTATTCAGGAAATGGAACAAAGAAAAGTTTATCTTCCACTATGGTACATATCCTTGCATGCGATTTTTTTTTAAGGATTTGTTTTTTAGGGTAATTTGAGGTGCACAGCAAAATTGTGATGAAGGTGCAAAGGTTTCCCATATATTTCCTGCCCCCGCACATGCATAGCCTCCCTCATTATCATCATCCTCCACCAGAGTATATGGTGAGATGTAAGGGAGGGAAAGCATTCTATAGTCCCATTAATAATGGGGGTCTCAGTCTTTTAGTAAGCCTGTGCCTCTGGACTGTGAACTTCAGAAATGCTTCTCAGTTCCACTTTGATGAGATAGCTGGAGTAGGCAGGAGTTTGGTATGATCTTTCCTTCAGGTTCATTAGGCTTTGATAAAACCCTGCAGGTTAGGCTCTGGTTAACTAGTTTCTTCTGAGGACAGGCCTTGTTAAGAGTAGAGTGCTGTCACCTATTTCAAAATAGTTTCTATTCTTCTCTCTCTGCTAGAGCATGAGAGAATTTTTCTCTAATATTTACTGTGAGAACCTGAGCAAACTCCTGAAGATAAAACTGACATTTGATTACATACTTTCCATTTGATTTAGACACTTGTGTGTCAAAAAGACTGACAAGAGGAATTATTGATTTTTCAGTCTACTGAACTTTTTGTTTGTTGTTTGGTCTGAGAGGTAACTTCCAATTATGTTATGTGAGGAACTGGAAACAGAAAGTCTACATACAATTTTGTGTACATCTCCTGATTATTCCCATTGTCTTGCCACAGTCTGTGCCTTCTATTATATGTGTTGCATTTATTGACAGTATACTTTCATTTCAAATCTTATTCCTTTCCTGTAAAAAGGAATAAGATTTGAAATGAAAGTATACTGTCAATATACTTCTAGTACACTCTTGAATATATTTACATGTCTCATGTATAAGAAATTATTGGATCTTATATGCAATAAGCTACAGTGCATAATATTTTGTGAATCTATCCTCAGATCTAGTTACCTAGGAATATAACTCAAACATTGCTGCTCTTAACACACAATAGGCTGAAAAGGCAACTTCCCTCTTCTCAAGCTATACACTCCAGGAAGTGAAGCACAGCCCCTACATCTTGGACTGTGCCTGAAATGGTCATAAGGCAGCAATATTACATTGGCATTCAGGCTCTCTTTCTTTTTCTTTTCTTCCCAAACTCCTTTATAAAACTTGAAAAGCATTTTTGTCATAAGGCAGCAATATTACATTGGCATTCAGGCTCTCTTTCTTTTTCTTTTCTTCCCAAACTCCTTTATAAAACTTGAAAAGCATTTTTGCTCTTTATTTAGGATAGAGGAACATTAGTTTTCATATTATCAAGTATTACTCGAAACTCTATTTTTTATAAAATTTGTAAGCCCTTGTACTTTGGAAAAAAACTTTCTTAAAATGTTATCTCTTGCAATTCAAATTGTTAAACATTACTGTTTTTGATATAAGTTATCTAAATTCTATTCTGAAACTCAACAGGCTTCTTAGACTGACTTATAATCTGCCATTTCTCCTGAGATAATAAATGACACTGATTTAATGACTGGAGGGCCTAAAGTCAATAAGAATATTCAGGGAAAAATTACATACTTTAGTTTTAAAAATGAAAGAACATACACAGTTAAAAATATAAGAATTGGATTTTAGTAGGAATAATATAGATCTTTAAACACACAGTGCCATGGTTCTTTATAGATTATCTTGGATAATATCAATGATTTCATGGTAAACTTGATCATAGACATCTAATCCAAACAAAAAGTCTATATGATTGTAGTAAGAAATAGTTTTATAATAAATGCGGTTTGTGATTTCAGAATGTAGAATTTTAACGTCTTCAGGGTCTGCCAATAAGTCCCTTTCACCATTCCAAATTGCAGTTGCCACATTCATGTTTGTCACATTGTATAATGGAGATGTTGTCTAAAAATAAATGAGTGAAAAAAGATTTTTCATAGGAGATGATACATTGGAAGGTTTTCATTACTAGTTGATTAAAAATGATGATTTTAAATACTGTTTTAAAATAAGTCAAATCTAATGGATTCAACTTTTATCTGTTGAAACAAAGGTATAAAAGCATGAATAGGCATTACAAGTTTTACTTGAAAATAAATCATACATAAACTTAAACTAGACAGTTTGCTCTATTCAAAATATTCAAACATTTCACAGAGGTAATTTCAGTACTATTTATAAAACATAAAAGATTTTAAATCAAATTTTCTGTGGCAATATTGCTATCAATATGTTGGTCAACACATTATAAGTATTGGCAGTCAGTGTCAACTCTGATCTCATTGAATTTGATCTTCAAATTTTATATGAAGATCAGACTTTTATATGAATAGATCACATCAGGCCTGGAGTTTAGCTGAGGCAGTAAAGTATGGAAGAAAAGCATAAACTTTGAAGTCAGAAAGACTTGGGTTCTAGTACTTCCATAATTTTGTTATTATACAATTTTTACCACATTCTCATTGACTGCTAATTTTTCCTAATTATTATATATGTTTTCTTATCTTTCCAAACAGAATAACTGGTTTTAGGGTCAATAAATATATTATGCCTATTATTTCTTATTAACCAAATGTAAAGCTATGCATATAAAAAACACAATATTTTTCCTCTTGAGGGACAATGACTTCTTCTACTGCCTGTCAACTTTTCTAGGCTTATCCAGAATATTTATTAAAATACATAGAAAACATGGAAAAGCCACTTCGGTTGGATGTGACAATATTTTTCAAATGAACATTATCTTCATCTGCTGGTCCCTGTCAGTGTGTTATTGTACTCTGGGGATTTATAGTTGATCCTTAGTATATAACAAAGTCATCTGAACAATCAGGAAGGGAGAGAATTTTTATTTTTATAGAGAATCATTTACCTGATTATAATGAACCAAGTTCAGATCAGGACTGCCCCAGTCATAAGCTTTCAAATGAGTAGAATTTAAAAGCTGAAAGAGAAACAAACAAGAAGATCATATCATTTGTTCATAACAGCGGCAGCTGAGCAAGTTAAGCAGGCAATGCATATATACCCCCATTGTACTGGGTCTGCTGGTATTTATGCAGCTGGCTTCTTTGTTCTTCTTTTCCTTTGGATACATAAATAAATAGAAGGGGTTGGAGATGGGGGCAGGGGAATCTAAATATAATTTCATTGTCTTTATATAAATGTACATATGTCCAAGGCCTTTTTCTACCAGGAGGGGAGCCTCTTTTGAGGAAAGTAACATCAGGCTCCCTTAAATTTTCAGCTTCATCAACAGAGATCATCACTGAGTGTCTTGTACTGAGACTAAGATAACACATGCCTAAAACACCTTGCTTCAAATGGTAGGGCTCAAGAGTTTGTCTCAGAAGGCACTTTTTGCTTTATCCCTTTATAATCACAGCCTCACCACCATTTTCTGGCCAAGGTTACTTATGACCCTGACATTTCTAGCACTTTGATCAATTCTGAGGAACTTTTTCATGTTATCTATGGGCAGCACTTGACATAGTTGTTCATTCCCTCATCCTTGAGATCTTTCCTTCACTTAGCTTCTGGAACACCACAATTTCTTGATCTTCATTTTCACTTACTGTTCCTTTTCAGCTTTGTTTAGCTGATTTAGTTTCTGCCACCTGACCTGTTCATCTTTTCAGATCTCAGTACCCAATCCTTGCTCGAAAGGATCTTGCTCTTCTCTGTCTATACTCACTTCATTTGTATTCTCACCCACTCTCTTGGCTTTATATGTCATTTACATTCAAAATGCTTATCTTCTTTTATAAGTATTTCCTAAATTCTAGGCTCCTATACACAACTGCTTACTCAATGTCATCACTTAAATATCTAAAACTTATTTTACCTTTCCTCCAAACCCTTCTATCATCAAACCTCCTCATCTCCTTTAATGGCAATTTTATCTTTTCATTACATAAGTCAGAAACTTTAAAATTATCCAAGACTCTCTTTCTCTCTTGCCTATTATAGAGTCTATTATTAAACTTTGCTGCCTGCATGTTCATGATATACATATGTTTATTCAGACTCCATTCCTTTTCACCACTTCCACTGTCAATACATCAGTCCAAGCAATTGTTAAATCCCATTTGGATTATTGCAATAATTTCCTAACTCTCACCGCTTTCACTCTTGTCCCACTATAGTCTACTCAACATAGCAGCCAATGTGTTCCTTTTAAAAGTGTAAACTATATCATGTCACTTCCCTGCTCAAAAACATATAGTGCCTTCTCATTTCATACAGAGTGAATGCCAAAGTCCTTTCAATGGCATACAGCTCCCTCTTACTCATTATTTTTGCTTCCTTTCTCTAAGTTTCTCTGTTACTGTGGCCACACTTGCTTCTTAGCTGAGCCTCCCAGAAATGCTACTGAATATGGGCTTTGCATTGGCTACTCCTTCTATCTGAAATGTTTGCCCCACCCCCCACTGTATGGTCTAAATCTTGTGTCCCTGCAAAATTCATATGTTGAAACCCTAACCCCCAAAGTAATTGTATTAACAGGTGGAGCTTTTGAGGGAGGTGATTAGGTCACAAGTGCACAAGGAAACTCTTTTGCCCCTTCTACCATCTGAGGACATAGTTAGAAGTACCATCTATGAACTGGAAAGTGGGCCTTCACTAGACACCAAATCTGTTAGCATGTTCATCTTTGACTTTCCAAGATTAAGCTTCCAGAACTGTGAGGAATAAGAAATAAATTTCTTTTGTTTATAAATAAAATAATAAAAATATATAAATTTCTTTTGTTTATAAGCTTCCCAATCTATGGTATTTTGTTATGGCAGCCCCAGACATCCATAGTGCTAATTACCTCACCTCCTCCAAATATTTTTTCAAATGTCACCATCTCATTGAAGCCTGACTTAACCTTTCTGTTAAAAAATACAACCCACTTCCCAACATGCCTAATCCCTTTTCCCTACTCTTTTACTGCAGTTTCTCCATAGTTCTATTCATCCCTTCTAACACATTATAATAGTTTTTAAAGTTGACATGCTTATCATTTATTATCTATGTACCTACTAATATGCAAGCCTGAGGAAGACAGGAGTTCTCGTTTTGTTCACTGATGTAGCCCATGAACACAGAATAGTACAAAGACATAGTAGGTGTAAAATAAATATTGTTACAATGGATAAATATTTGCAAAAGTTGTTTAGATTTTTCTAGTCTAGCCATCACCAGAGAAGAAAGTATAACTTATCTTACCTAAATATAAGTGATAATAAATGTTTTCAATAATTTATATCAAATCACATTATAGATTTAAATGTTTTATAAACAAAAAAGCCTTACCCAATATCTTAATGATACTTTAAAGTTACCTAGTGTTTATGAACTTTAATGAACATTCATAATCATTAGTCTTTTCGAGTCTTACAATATTTTTCTAAGTAAAATTAGAGAATTATTAATTTCACTTTAAAAATAAAGGAAACTGATTCAGGAAGATTAAATGAGATGTTCAATGTCATCATGCCACTAAGGTCCAGAGAAACAATTTAATTTCTGGTCTTTCGATCTGAGAAAAGTATTCTTTATACTATGTTTATCCTGGTTTTCAACATTAAGATTACATTCATGCTGGATTTTTCTGTATCAGTATCATTTTCTGAACAAATATTAATTGGGTATCTACCATATGCTTAGAACTGTTGGCCTTGGAAATACAAAAGTGAACAAAACTTCTCATGGTCCTCAAGGAGTTAACAATTCAACAGAAGAGAAAAAGCAGTCTAGTGGAGCATTTCAGAGTAGGCATCAGGATAACTGTATTCCAATCAGATTTTTTAAAATGAAATAGCTTTGAATCATTGGGCAAGTCGGTTGTGGGACATGGCCTAAATAATTCCTAGTCTACTGTTCTATCATTTTCTCAATTGTAAAACATAGATATTTATATTGTTGTAGCACTGTTAAGGTTTAGAGGATTATTAAATTATGCTACTAACGTTTTACTTTTATTTTTGAGACAGTCTTATTATGTCATCCAGTCAGGAGTGCAGTGGTGTGATCTTGGCTCACTGCAACCTCCACCTCCAGGGTTCAAGTGATTCTCCTGCCTCAGCCTCTCAAGTAACTGGGATTACAGGCATGAGCCACCATGCCTGGCTAATTTTTATATTTTTAGTAGAGACTGGGTTTCACTATGTTAGCCAGACTGATCTCAAACTCGTGACCTCAGGTGATCTGACCCTCTAGGGCTCCCAATGTGCTGGGATTACAGGCATGAGCCATCAGGCCAGGCCCCAGTATTTTATAAACTATAAGGAATTACACAAATATATAATAATTTCATGTTATCTTTATAAATTTATTATTCTATGGCCGTGGTATGATCCCTAGAATAATGAGGTAAACCATGATTAGTGTAAATTAAATTGTATTGAAATACACTTTAGCAGTTATACCTGACTTCAATGGAGCATATTTTGAACAGATGTTCCTGCTGGGTTGTGTGAAAAATATACATCCAAACGACTCTGAGGGGTTAAAAACAAAAGCATTTTTATATTAGTTGAATCATAGAAAGCATAATCTCTTAGTATTTATTAGACTAAATTATTTCAAGAAAATTAATTTTAAATTAATCATTAATAAACAAATCATCAAATTATATTTTAATTAAATATACAAATTTACTTATTAAATTGTACAATTTTTACATTAATATAGAAGCTATTATTGAATTTCTTTTTTTTTTTTTTAAGACAGAGCCTCACTCTGTTGCCCAGGCTGGAGTGCAATGGGTGTTGCACTCACTACAATCTCCACTCACTACAACCTTCGCCTCCCGGGTTCAAACAATTCTCCTGCCTCAGCCTCCTGGGTAGCTGGGATTACAGGCACGCATCACCATGCCCAGCAAATTTTTTGTAATTTTAGTAGAAACAGGGTTTCACCATGTTGGTCAGGCTGGTCTCAAACTCCCGACCTCATGATCCACCCACCTCAGCCTCCCAAAGTTCTGGGATTACAGGCATGAGCCACCATGCCCAGCCGCTATTATTGAATTTCTAAGTTATTTCATCTGTTACCCTACTAAAAACAATCAAATGTGACTGAGAAACAGCTATACATACACATACACAAACACCTTTTGAAAGCATTAAAGAACTAACAAGATAGAAATAAATTACCAAAATAAATTGAGGAGCTAAATAAAGAACACCAGATAGGACAAATAAAAAGCACATAGCAAGGTGATAGCCATAAATCTAATCTTAATAATTATATAAAAATAGATTTATGAAATGTAATCCAATTAAAAGGCAAAGACTATCAAAATGGATTTTAAAATATTGTTAATATTATAGCTGAAGACATAAAATACAAGCTTTATAATATCTTCCAGGAACAATAAGAACAAAAACAACCATAAAAATTGACCCATCTGATTGAAGATATATATATATATACATATATATATCTTGAAGATATATATATATATATATCTCCACATATATATCTATATATCCATTTATATATACACACACACATAAATATATATGCACGATGGAATATTAATGAGCCATAGAAGAGAAAAAAATTCTGCCATTTGTGACAGCATAGATGAATCTGGAGGGTATTACTAAGTTAAATAAGCCAAATAGTGAAAGACGAATACTGTATGATATCACTCATAAGTAGTATCTTAAATTAAGAAAAAAAAACCCAAAAAATAAAAATGGGTGAGCTCATAGAAACAGAGTAAAATGGTGGTTGCCAGGGTCTGGCAGGTAGGAAAAATGGGGACATGGTGGTGAAAGGGTACAAACTTTCAGTTATACGGTAAATACATTTTGAGGATCTAATGCACAGCATGGTGATTAGCTAATAATACTGTACTGTATACCTGAAATTTTCTAAAATTTAGCATTCTCACCAAAAATGTGACTAGAGGTGATAGATGTATTAACAACTTGATGTGGCAATTATTTCACAATGTATTTATTTGTCAATTGTACCTCAATAAAGAGAAAATTTCTTTTGTTTTCATTGCCATTCAGGCTGCTTGAAACTGTCAAAAACAAAGTTCTGACAGGACCATTTTAAACAGCCTGTACAGAAATTTTTAACAGAAACATTCCATAATTAAAACTCAGGTATTTATTATGTCCTCTGATTATAATTCTTCTCTGTGTTTGAAATAAGCTCCAACATAATGCTTAGTTTTCTGGTACATTCCAGATATTCCTTCCATCCTGGGTCACTGCTGTTTACCTTAATGTAGGTCAGAGGCTTATACAACACAAAGCACACTGTTCTGTTCATCTTTCTGGATGAAGAAGTGCACAGTAGCTTTCATAAACACCCATCAGGCCTATCTATGAGCAATCTGAAATGTTTACCAGAGTCTCTACTTCACCTTTATGAGAAAGATAAGAAGAAATCCATTCCCTGAAAGGGACCTAAATTGTAGCCACACACCCTTGACTGCTGCATTCATATATCTCAGGCTCATTTCCCTTTATAAGAGTTAGAATTTCTTTTTGTAAATCATAAAAAAAAAATGTGACACCTGGACAAAGTCAACATTTTGGTTGTTTGATGATACATTTTCCAAGTTACACTGTGAGCACTTTCATCATCTGTTCTTCCTTGTATCATGACTTGATTTCAATTCTCTGTGGCTGGTTTTTCATACCCGAGTGACATTGGCCAGATTCCACTCACAGCCTTTTTATAAAAACTACCAGATTCTTTTTTTGGTTTTTCATACTGGCTTTAGGAAAATAATTTTAAGCCAGACCCTACTTCCTCCACAGATCTTGCTAGGCTCAAGAGACTGATTCAAGCTTAACCACAGATTCACCATTACTATTTCCAAACACACTATGCATGAAAATTTTCTACTTCCAACTTCCTATAATTCCAGCTAAATTAAGACACAGTCATATTACAATCTACAACATTTTCAACTTCTGTTGCAGAAGAACTGCCACAGATTTGAAGACTAGAAAACCAGAGTACAAGCTTTTCTAATAATTTACACACAAAAAAGAGTTCTCAGAGACATCACATTATAATTACAAAAAATACAGAATTGGCTAAATATACTACCCAAATCATAGAATTAATGGATAAATCAAGTAAAAACAAACATTATATTTATGATTCTTCCAGTTCTTTCATAGTAGGTGCTTAATACTACATGAACAGAAGAATATGAAAAAGAGGGAATATGAAAGTAATCCTTTTTGCTTTCTATGGCAGAAGGTACATTGCTCATATCTTTATGAGTGGAAAAGAAGACAACTGAGTTTATTTCTTATAGCATTCTGAAAATAAGGTAAGATTGAACAAATTCAACGAAGTCAACAAACATGTCCTTGTGGCATGAAAATGTGTTTGGGAATTAAGAGAACACTCTCTTTCTTTGAATGTATACATTGGCTCTCTTTGAGACGTTCTTAAAGGGCCCAGGAACAAGAACCAACCACTAGTCCGATTGCCACATTTGCTTCTTCCAAATCTAGATGTTCAATTTAATGTGATAAAAAACACTTCAAATAAATGCCTGTATCCTTAAAAGAACCTACACACAATCAATCCAAAGGTTTTGGTAATAGTAGCTTGAGTACCACAATAGTTTCCCACTCCAAGAGTATTGATAAAAGCTAGAAACTGAAAGATAATTGGCAGGCACTAATTCTAATTATGAAAGGATTAACAAGGATGGGAAAGAGTATTAGGAACCAGGAGGAGGAGTTATGGGAAACAAATAAATAGAAGAGGACCTAAATCTTAGAAGTCTCAGGAAACTAATACCCAATAGCAAAAGTCAATAAAGATACCCATCACATCAGCTGCTTTTGAATATTTACAGACAGCAAGACAAATATGGAGGTAAAACAATCCCAGCATGTTAATGCAAATTAATTGTACAATGTTGGTGTAGTCATAAAATCAGATAGACTAAGAATCTGACTACTAGTGTATATGGATGAAACACAAAATGACACAAGGTATAACACAAGCACTATTATAATTATACTTTTCAAATGTTGGAAAATATATATATTTCAAATATAAGTTGTTCTTACCATATTTAAGTTTTTTGGGTCATACCCACACATCATAAACAAGATATTGAGGCAAATCTTCTGAAAAATCTGTAGTGGACACAGCTTTGAACCAACAAATTTTTTAAATGAGGTTTTAGATAAGAAGTCTTTGTTGCCGGAAAACACCTGTAAAATAAATTTATTTTATCCACATTTGGACGATCACAATAAGTAATAAAGAAATGATGTAGTAAAGTAATAAAGAAATGATGTAGTAATTCACTATGCATACAACCAAACAAATTATCTCACAGTAGTTTGAAAATTTTAAATAAAGGAATAAACTTGGAAGCAGGGTGTAGAGATGGTTTGGCCACTGGATTTCCTCTCACATTGAGGTTCTAAAGGTATAATAAGTAAAATTGTATTCCTCTGTAGAAATAAAGGCAAAAATCTAGTGTAAATGAAACCAAACATTTCAATTCATACATGCGGTTGTTTACTATAGTCAAGATCTCTTATTTTGAAAGCACAGAATTATCATTTTGGGTTATCAATGATGTAAAAGAAAGGTGTAACATACCTTCACTATTGACTTCCATTTGTAGGTCATTGTAATTAAAGGACTTTTTAAGTACTTTGTGGAAAAAACTGGTGCTAAGGCAAAAAATATTTTGACTCTTTCAGCTATCTTTGGTATAGTAGAAAATGTTATGAAACCTAAAAGAAAAGAATATATAAATTATTAAGCTATTTTTGTGCAATTACTACCATGTAAGAGATGACACCATGGAGAATAAGACTAAGTTAAAAAATAGTTTCCGAACAATCAACTTATTTATTTCTTAATTCACTTATCAAACACTTTTTAATCACCCAGTGTATAACAGAATACTGATAATTAGGGTTTCTACAATGTATAGACCATAAAGAATGATAATTTAGCAATAAATCAGACATGTAACACCATAGTTTAAAGATTAGGAGCAATATTGAACATTTTTTATTATGGGCAATGGTAAAAATGAAATATGTGAAATTTTCAGACAAATGAATCTTACACTTTAGGTGACGTACTCAACAAATGTCACACTGTTATAATATTTAGCTTCAATATATTTTAAAATTCCTTACCTTTTTATACAGAGGACACTAAGCATCTTATTTTATCAATAGTTTAGAAGCATTAATGTGAAAATAGTAATTTTCCCTTTGCCATCTTATCAAGCTATCTACTTACACATCAATATTCTGAGTGGTTATTTATTTATTTAGGTTAGTTTCTGAGGAGCCAAACAACCAAACAATTAAGGTATGGCATTTGGTCCTCATTTTTTTTTTCTTATTTCTATGTTTTCAGCCATTCCTGGTTTGAGATCATTGAATAGTTGATGATAATTTGGACTAAAAGTCACATATATGACATAATACATGTCAGAGAAAAGATCTATAGAAAATGGGATTACATTATTACTCAACATGCTTTTTCTAGTAGAAAGTGGATTATTTTTATAAGAAAATTTTAGTCATCAGCTTAGAAACGACTTAATATTAGCTTCTATTATAAGATGGCTTTTTCTCCCTGCAAAATGGAATAACACAAGTAAAGAGGTTTATAGTATGCAAGAGAATTATGTTAAGTCATAGGCAATTTATTTCTGAAAGTAAAGTTGTTACGTATTAGACAGGCATTAGAGTTCTGACTAAAATTCTTTTATTGTCATCTTTAAATAAAGAAGAATTTCCTAATTTTTGTGCATTTCTTAAGTTTGACCAGACTTAAATGCAAAAACATACGTAGCTTTTTGGTCTTTTCTACTGATAAAATCCTATTCTACATTTTTAAAAGGGAAAATCATGTGAACATTCTATTTGTAGTACAAATAATAGTGGCAATCTCACTTTGATCTTAAATAACATTGATATCCAACTTTTATACAATTTGAAACAAACAAAACTACAACCAACCTTGTCTTTACAATCAATTCTTTGCCATTAGAGAAGACTCCATGTGGGATCAAAGCAGCATGTAGGATTCTGCTTTAATCCCACAAAGGGCATTCTGCTATACTACGTTGGTCTCACAGTTTTTGTTTTACTTACAGGTCTAGAAGCTTATCTACAATTTTAAGAAGTATATGCATAACCTTAAAAAAGAAATTAAGGGATATTAACAATAATATTTCTTGGTATACCAATAGTAGTGCCCTGTGAATGGCCTACATAAAATATTTCCTCTTGTCTGGTTTTCTTCACAATGAAATCAATGGAAGCTGGAAGGTCATATTTTGCCATCTCATCAAAACTACAAAAGAAAGAGGAAAATAAAAATAGCACTTTCTGCTAATGTTATATTGATATTTGAAAATAATGAATAGGTAAATTAATAAAAGCAATTTTCTATTCTCTTTTGTTATTAATCAGGAAGTTACATCGTATAATGTATCTTCTGAATAGAAACTCAAAGTCAAGGAAATAAAATCACAAAGCAGTCTTATAAAGAGGGTGTTTGTATATGAAAAATAGAGTAGGGCAGAAAAAATATATGAGTTATAGAGTAGAAGAGTACTTAAAGGAGGGATGGGGTTGGTGAATAAGGTACTAAGTAAGAAATAAAGATTATTGCTGAAATATAAAAAAAGAACTCAAAATCACATAAGTACTCTTTAATTTTCAAGCCAAAATCACATAAATTTTAATGGTCTACAGAACGTCCTAGGTTGTGAAAAGAGTGAGACCTATATTTTATTTTATTACATTCAAAATGAAAACTGTGTATACATTTATAAAACGAAATGTTACTTTAGTTTATTCATACCTGAAAGCCCAGAATTCTTTGGAATTTGTTTCTAGGTACAAGTGTTTCCTGGACCAGGTATTTCCTCTGCTATTTCCCATCCACACATCATAACCAGCATCTGCCAGAATGAAGCCCAGACTATTGTTGGGAAGATTGGAAATCCAGCTGCTGGCAGATGTAAGCAAACCATGTTGCAAGTATACAACCCTCTGAACTGAAAAAAAAATGCAGAAAATTCTTTATAAATTTTGTAGCTATCTATATGAAAATCTCTTTTCTGAAATTCAAACTTTTAATATATGACATTTAAAGATTTTTTAAAATTGTTTTCATAAGTGAAGTAGTTACTAATATTTATTTCCATTGTATGCCAGAGCTGTTTAATACAGTTTACTAATGGATGTCTTTCAAATAACCACGTGGCAACTAGGTCACATCCCACTTAAATCTACAAATTTTACTGAAAGAGAATAATCAAACATTTTATAGTAATTTGAGCACTCGTACACATTTTAAGTAACACATTTTAAATAAGGGATCAATTACATAGCAAAGTTGACATATTCATTGACACATGGCTATGGTATCCACCATATAACGCCCATCAAGAGGCTGCCAACCTGACAGAAAAATCAAACAACCCCTTGAATGCTCAGTGGAAGATGACAGCTGGGAGACAACATCCTGTAAGTATGGGCACTATCCTTCAGGATTTATTGTACATCATCTTTTTAAAATGGTGATAATATATTGGTCATTCCCCATTAAGTAGAATACAGGAGTCTGAGGAACAAGAGCTTGCCATCACTCCTAGTAACCCACTCAGGGTTGTGTACTTGCAATTTCAGCCTCTACATATCTAGAGGCCCTCATCCTCAGAGAGAAAATGCTCCCACCAAGGCACTATATTCACCCTAACAAACTTAAAGCTATGACCACTGCCTAGTAGTCACTGTGGGCTCTTCATTACTGAAGACCAGGAAGTTCATTGACCATAATCATAAGGAAATAGGTCTGCTGATACAAAATGAGGAAAGGGAGAAATACATTTGCTCTTCAGGTGATCCACTGAGTCATCTTCTCCTACTTCTATGCCCTGTTTTAACTGTACATGAACAAATACAACAATCACCTGATATGAATATGTTAGCCCTCAGGGATGAGGGCCTGGCTTACCTATCAGGCAGGCTATCTGAGAGGTAGAGAAATCTAGAATGGATGGTGGAGGAGGAAATTTATGAGTACTAGTTATGGCCTTAGGTATTGCTTTTTAAGGGTTTACTATTGCTCCTTTCTCTGTAGAATTGCCCATGGCCAAATTGGAACTGCCTCACCTAAGAGATCATACCTCCTTCTAGGGGTAGCCTTCAGACAATGATTAATTGACATAGGAAGGCAAAAAGCTAGCTCTCTAATCTCACCTCTGTAGTGCAATTTTTATGGGAACCTTGAACTTTTCTGAGATCATTTTGCAGCTAGCCCCAACCTGAGTCATATTATCACTTAACTCCTCACCCTAGTTTATCCTAGTTTCCACCTTACTGTTTCCTGACAGTATTTCATCAATTAGTCACATGTATCTGAACCCCTCTCTCAGGCTCTGCCTTTAGAACACTCTAAGACACTTGCTGTTTTTTAAATTGTCTTTAAATCTTTAATAGAGTACTTGCAAAATGAGGTCATATCTTGGGGGATAATTACTATTATTATATAAAATCTATGTTAAGATTTTCCGCTACTGGGTGTAACCTTTATAAATATGCAAAATTATGTTAATTGAGGTTGTTTCAAATTAATATCCTCTCTGAAGTATACTTTAATGTTCAAAATAACTTGAAAGAATGTGCTATAATATAATCAACATTCTATTTTTTCACATTCTGTTTCCTTCTGAAAGAAACATTCTTTCAGGAGAAAAGCTAAGGAGAAAAGAAAATACTTGGCTTTTATTTGGGTAATTATATGAATAAGCAAAAGTAATCCATTACATATTCTGCTAGTAAGTGGTAGATCTAGGACTACAACCCAGATCTCCTAACAAATTCCAGTGCGTTTTGTACCACACGCTGATGATTCAAATGTACTTACTGTTGGAATAAAGAGCCGTGAGGCTACTACCAACCTCATCACTCCATTACTAGAGGAGAGAATCACAAAGAAGGAAATTTGTACAAGCCTTTCTTCAAACCTGGAGTATAATAATGTTATTGTGCTTCAGAGCATTTCTAATCTCTCATCGGTAGAAGAAAATTCTAGAGAATCAACATGCAAGAGCAAAATGATCCACAAAGGAAGCCTGGAAAGAACACCTTGTGTTTCATCACAACCTTTCTGTGACCAGAAAGCCAGTGTATATTCTTGCATGTTTCTTCTTGCGGCATGCGGGAAGATACATGAGAAGTTAACTATTCACTTAATCTTAAGATGCTTTTCTTGTTCTACATTCTCCAGGGACTGGAATAATTAAGAACTTCCGACCCCAGATAGTCACCAATCCATCTTAAATTGAATATTACCTAGATTTTTATTATTGTTTGTCTTCCCATAAGGAATTCTAAAAAGGCCAAGGATATAACCATCTTCAGTTACAATATCATATTCTTCATCAGGGTAGCCCCAGTAGGAAATAATTTGGCTCTAGATTAAGAAAAAACAAATCTTTTAGCATAAAATTGTTATCCAATTAAGTTGAATGGTTTACTGTTTCTAACCTATTATGTATAATGAACATTGGTATTCTCTCTCAACCTCAGGCCTATCTATTTTTATTTTTGCTAATTTAGTGATTCATTCAGATAACAAGTATGTATACAACACCTGCTGAACAGCAGTTTTATAAACTAGGGATTGAAAGAATTAAAAAATAAATAAAAAACAAACCCCTACCTTCAAAAAGGTATCTCAAGAATATTTTCTTTTTTGACTACTAGTCTCTCATACTTTTACCTACCCACCCACATACAATTTTAAAATATACGTGCATCCATAAATGTTTGCATGTCTATGTGTATATCTAATCTTATATCTGAAATTTGTATGTAGGTAAATATGCAGAAGAGAAGGAGGTGTGTATATATATATATATATATATATATATACACACACATATATATACATATATATACACATATATATACACATATATATATGAAAGTATGAATATATTTCAAATTTGTGAAGATATGAATATATTTATACATTTTTCATTACAAAGATAGAATAAGGCTGAAGGAGAAACTGAGTTACAGCATAGCAGATGAGAAACATTAACCCATATAAAAATACTTGAATATAGACATATACATTTGACTGTAAATCTATTAACTTAAAATTCAAAATTTGAAGAGTGGCATTCTCTGTTATTTCAGCAGTCCAGATTTATTTTCTAACAACTTACAATATTCATATCTGCCTCAGGGTTCACAGATCTTTGATTCTGAATTACGCCATGAGCAATTCCAAGAATTCGGATAAAATACATTATTGTGAAAAGATACCACATTTGGGACCTATGCATAAAAGGGAGATGTTTATACAATTAAAATTGCAGTAAATAATATCCTTTATAAAATTGCAGCAAATAATTCTGTGAGGTAGGAAATATTGTTTTTGGATGAGAAAACTGAGGCTTTGAAGAATTAAATAACTTGGTTAAAAACATAAAATGTATAACTGGCAGTCAGAATTCAGATTCAGGACTGCTTAATTTCAAAGTCCATGCTTTTCTGGCTACTCTATTTTGTAGATAAATTTCCTCTTAAAAGTCTCCATTATAGTATTGCTCAGCCCAATTCTGAGAGCTTTATCATGTATTACAAATTAATTGATGTCTGAATTAGTGATGTAATAGTATTATTACTAACCTAACACTCATTTAATGTATGCTTAATTTTTTTGCGGGAGGAGGGGATGAAGGGGAAGATTTGGAAACTTGGATAACTTTCATTCAGTGACTCAGGGTTGGCATTTTATTTTGTTTACAGACAGGTGATTTTTGAGTCTCCTAAAATCTGGGAAACCAGAACTCTTAAGCTTTTTCTAAAAACAATAAACCAGGGAGCCACAGAGGCTGCAATCCAGATTTCCCCCAAAAAGCATGACTTGCAAATCTCATGAGTCTTATATAATAAACCAACACACTATACCGGAAGGACATGATCCAAGGATTATAAAACCCCTAGCTTCACCACTCACTAGCTAGGTGACTTAAAGCAGATTATTTAACCTCTTTTGAGCATCATTTTCCCTGCCTACAAAATGCAACTAATACCTACTTCTCAGGGTTGTTATAAAACTTAAATTTGATTAATGTGATATGATGTATTAGTGTAATGCCTGTCACATAGCTGATATTAATATGTAACAATCCTCCTTACTCAAGAGAACAACTTACGAGCAATTTAGGGACGTAATTTACATGCACCTAATTGATATGTCTTTCCTACGTATTTATTAGTCCAGTCTCCAGTATATTGATAGCTTGAAAAAAAATGATGTAGATTTGAAAATTTTAAAATGTATTCATTTTTAAAAAAACATTTTCTAACTTAAAAATTTAATTTACAGAAGCTGCACTTTTCTCCAGTATTTATATTTGATATAATATCTGTGATTTTCATTGAAGGCAACAGCAAAGTTTAAAACAGTATTATCAATATTTTCTACCAAAGAGAAGAACAAGAGTTGCTAATTTTACTGCACATGGAAAAACTTTATAACATTTAGAATCACACTTAGATATTCCTCTTTGGTTGTATTCTTGGAAAACAGCTCAGCATGCAGCAAGTCTACTCAGTCCTCTGTCCTCATGGGCTCTCAGATAAGCATATGGAAATAGTGTGGGAAGGAATATTTTCTTTTGTCTGTACATGCAGTAACTGATATTGTAGCTTACTACACACTGCTTCCTTCCTAGCAGAGGTTTTAAAGTACTTTGCATTATATCTAGAATGGATGTATAGAGTATCATCTGAAACAATATACCTTTGAAAATGAAATTCTATTGACAATTTTCTTGTGAAAACAGGCATAATCTGGACTGTTCCAGGCATCTGTACGTTATGACTGCCCAATTTATAGCCTCAAATATTTCTCAAAATTTTAATATTTTTATTCAAAGAAAACACGGAAGGATCAACCTTTAATATATAGTTGGTACACCTAATAACCAGTAATGGGAAATGTTTAAACTCAATACAGTTAACCTTATTATTTGCAGTGACTTATCAACCACATAAGGCAACTAGCGAAAACGTTCACTAAAGTCTAGAATGTGGCCATTGTGCACTTGAAATGTGGCTAGTGAGAAACTGAATATTTTATTTTAGTTAAATTAATTGTAATATAAAAGCTGAAGCAGTGTAAAATATTTTTCTGTTAAGTACAACTTTAAATTTTTATAAGATTTACTGTATTGTTAATCCCAATTCAAGATTGTCTTCAAACAAAAGCAATACTTATTAAATATCCCATAATTGAAAACAAAAATATGGCAGATGACATGATTTTACATCCATATCATGCTGAATGGAAAAGCTAATTTATTATTTTAATACATTGCTTTGAGACTATACATTGGGCAGTAATTTTATAGCCTCAAATATCTAGTCAACTGCTATTAGACTTTATGTTGAAATGAAAACTTCACATAATGCAATTCAATAATCATGATTTACACATTTTTCTAACGTGAATCAATATGCAGATTTTAATTATACACAACAGCTTTTATATAAATTGGCTACAAAACTACAAGAAAAAATAGTTGATATTGATAAATTTAGAGTTGCTTTGCAGCTCAAATTTGAATTTGATATTAATAATTTTAAGTTGACATGAGCGATTTAAATATACTTAACTTGGAGAGATAGAGTTTTTAAGTTAATATGTTTTTACCTCAAAGTCTGAATTTTTCCGAAAAAGATAAATAATTTTGTCATAATGTTTAAATCGAATGAAATTAACCTTATTATTTGCAGTGACTCGTCAATCATACAAAGCAACTAGTGAAAAAGTTTTATTGATAGTCATTTAAGAAAATGATTTATTGATAGTCAATTCAGTTACTGAAACTTTTAAATATATTTCAGACAATTTAGGTATGTGAAACTACTCTTGTAGGTGCAAATTTTATGAAATCAAAAAACACCTCAAGTGTGTCTATTAGACCTAGGCCAGGTGTGGTGGCTCATGCCTGTAATCCCAGTACTTTGGGAGGCCGAGGCTGGTGAATTACGAGGTCAGGAGTTCAAGATCAGCCTGGCCAATATGGTGAAACCCCATCTCCACTAAAAATACAAAAAAATTAGCTGGGCGTGGTGGTACATGTCTGTAATCCCAGCTACTCAGGAGGCTGGGCAGGAGAATTGCTTGAACCTGGGAGGCAGAGTTTGCAGTAAGCTGAGATTGTGCCACTGCATTCCAGCCTGGGCAATGGAGTGAGATTCTGTCTCAAAAAATTTAGCCCCAGAATTAAGATCTTTTATGCGTGTAAAATACATTCTGGATTTTGAGGGTTTACAAAAAAATCTAATGTAAAATATCTATCTCATCAATAATTTTTCTAATACATGTTGAAATGATAATTTGGATAAAATGGTTTGCTATAGAAGTAATCACCACTACTACATTAAAATATTATTTTGTCCCGTAAACCTTGTACCTAATGCAGCAGGTAATCATTATTACTTCAATTTAAGTTACTTGCCATAATTTTCCATCCATGCTGGCTGTGTGGTGAGATAGTATTCCACGCAGCAAATCACTGGTGATTTACTTTGTTCAGAGTCAAACTTTCATAAGGCAGTCAAAGATGAAAGTGAGTAAAAAGTGTAGTTTTATACCACAGCACTAAAATTGGAGGTTGCCAGAATTTTAAATAATAATTTTTAAAAGCTATCACCCATTTAGTAAAAGTACTTAAAATATGAAAATATCAAATATCTGTAATATTAACATTAATGCATAACTACAATATAATTTCCTAAAAGATGACTTGAAGATTAATTATTATTTTTTTGAGATGGAGTCTCACTCTGTCACCCAGGCTGGAGTGCAATGGCAGGGTCTCGGCTCACTGCAACCTCCACCTCCCCCGTTCACGCGATTTTCCTGCTTTAGCCTCCCAAGTAGCTGGGACTACAGGCATGTGCCACTACACCCGACTAATATTTGTATTTTTAGTAGAGACAGGGTTTCACCATATTGACCAGGCTGGTCTCGAACTCCTGACCTCATGATCCAGCAGCTTCGGCCTCCCAAAGTGCTAGGATTACAGGCATGGGCCAACGTACCTGTTGAGAATTATTTTTTTATGCCATTAAAATGATTAGTTTGACTCTAGATACAACACAAAACGATGGAAAGTATAATGTCATACCTCTCTGCTTTTGTTGATTTTAAGTGTCTAGTGTATGTGTCTTCAAAGTAGTCAATCATCGTTGTGTTTCTTTTAGCAAAGGTTGCTAAGTAGAGTCATAGGAAAGCTAAGAAAAAGTACATTATACTAAAAAGCAAAATAAAAAGAGAACATTTAACTCAAGGCAATGTTAAATCCAGCTTCCTATTTTTTTTCAAGCCCCTTTCCCATACGTTACTCCAAATACATCTTCCCAAAAATGAGAAAACCACCACAGAGGTTGTCAGTGGTAGTTTCCCACTACTTAAAAAGCAATTAAAATGTCTATTAAAAAACAATTAAAATTATTACGATACAAAACTTCCTTAAAAGTCTGAAGTAGATTTATTTTTGTCTGACAATTATTGTAATAACAGTAACAAGTAGTGAATATGTAGTCAAAAATGACTTAAAGGATTTCAAATATAGAAGCAACAGTCTTAAAAGTATTGTTAGGTCTCAAAAGAAGACATTTACGTGACAAATAAACATATGAAAAAAAGCTGAATGTCACTGATCATTATCAACCTGAATTACCATCCGGCCTATCTTGCTTTAAGTATTATCCACAAAAGTCTTGTATATCTTCTAGCAAACAGATAGTGAACCCTCATAGTCTCTGAGAATTCTCACTTTGATTCTAGTTGCCAGGGAAACTGTACTAAATATGACAAAATTTCTACCCTCTTGGTGCTTAAATTCTAGTAGGAGAAAAACAATAAATAAACAATAAATAAGTAAACAGGTAAAGAAGCAAATTACTTCTAGAAAGGGATTGAGATGAAGAAAATAAAGCATTCATTTTTCCATCATTTGATGAAATAGGGAGTCACTGGATGGCTATTTTAGGTCAAGTGGTCAGAGAATACCACTTTTAGGTGACCACTTTTAAGCTGATTTGAATGAAGTCATTCATGGAGTCAGCCTTGAAAAGATCAAGAATAGGAAAAAAGTCAAGGGAAAAGGTCAAAGTGATTAGGAAGAATAAATATTTGACAAGGAGGCTGTCTCATCTATCTTGCAATCCTAATTTTCTCTAGGTCATCTAGTCATTCTTACCTTTCCAGAAAGATGTACTACTGCCAAGTAGTCAACCTTGGACCCATTACTCTATTAACTGTGAAATCAGATGCAACCCATTCTGGAGGCTAGGCATAAGGAGAAATTGTAAGCCACTATGGCTACTTCCATTTGATGGCCATAGCAATTCAAAATTCTGGATAACTGTTTTGAAAGAGTGCATGATCATAGGGAGAAAGGAAAACGACAGTGAAGGGTTAATGCAAATTCACAACTGCAGGAGATGCAAGTCTAACAAGGATGCTCTATACACAGAGAACAGCATAAGCAAAGGTTTTCTTCTGCCATAGGTAAGTGTGTTCAAGGAAAAGAAAGCAATTCGGTTCAGCCACAGCATAGAAGAAATGAAGATACAAATGTAAGAGACAACCATAGAATAAGAATATATTATTGAATATTTTTTGTGCCAAGTTAATGCAGTGGAACTTAATTCTGTATGAAACTGAGAGCTACAGAAAGTTTTTGAGTATGGTGGTGACTCATCTAGAAGCTGGGTGCAGAACTGCTAAGTAGGAAGACTAGTTAGAAAGCTACTGTAATAATTAAGGTAAGAACCGATGGTTTGAACTGGTCTGATGGTAATGGCTTATCAGAATTTATTAACAGTAATGTCACTAAAGTTGGTATACAACCCTCCAGTGCTAAATTTGACTGGCTTAAAAAAAACCTGATGGCTTGAACTCAAGTAGTGAATTAATTTTTTGGCAATTACTCTTTGAAATGATAAATGTTCACAGTTGGCAGAGTGCAGTGAAGAAAATGTTCCGACTTTACAATATTCTATTTGTTCACTATCTGTTTTCTACCATTGCTGGTGGAAATGGAATTTGAGCAACTTTTCTGTTGTGCAATCTAATGTGGTTGGATTCAAGAGACAATGGAGAAAGGATCAAAAAGGCCTGAGGACTGATAGGTATCAAGGATGAGAAAAAAGAAGCTATAGAAGATGATTATGAAGTTTCAAGTCTCATTGTCCAAGATGATCAAATTATTAACAGAAGTAAGAAAGCAGGAAAGGATGGAAAAGAGCAGGAGAGCAGACTCAGAAGACCATGAAGGTCTGCCCTTGCTTCACCACTGAGATAATAGGTAAGTTTGGGTAAACTCACCTGAACTTAGTGTCTGTACTAACATGTATAAAATGGTTGCAGAGGGCAGGTGAAATCGATTAATTCAAATGTCCTTTCCAGACAATTTTGAGATTTTAAGACTTTCTATGGCTGTGAATCACATTAAGCTTTTAATTTCAGAGAAATCTGAACTTTTAATTTCAGAAAAATCATAAACTTTAATATATACTTGTACACTATTTTCCCAAGATAAATGTCTGCGTTAAAGGGCATACTTTAAGGCTTTTGACAGAGTATCAAACTATATTATGAAAAATTTCTCTAGTACACTTCCATCAGTAATATACTATTGTATATTTTGCTGTATCCCTACAAATGAAGACATTTCACATTTACAAAAGTCATTCCTAGCCTGGGAAACATGTCAAAACCTTGTCTCTACAAAAAATACACACACACACATACACACACACACAAAGTTAGCCAGGTGTCGTGGTGGTCACCTGTAGTCCCAGCTACTCCAGTGGCTGAGGAAGGAGAATGGCTTGTGCCTAAGAAGTCAAGGCTGCAGTGAGCCCTGATTGTGCCACTGCACATTCGCCTAGGGGACAGAGCAAGACCCTGTCTCAGGTTAAAAAAAAAAAAGCCCAACAAATGAAAAATAGTACCTTCTTTTAATCTGTATTTGAATAGAAAAAATTAAACACATGCTTATTGGACTTACGAATTTCTTTTGATTCAAGAACTCTATCCAATGTATACATATTTTCCTTTTGGCTTTTGTCATTTGTGTCTTTAAGACTTTGTATAATGTCTTTAAATAATATAAACTTTAATACCTTTCCGAAATTTACTATTTGTATTTTGTCTTGTATATTTGGTACTATACAAGTTGTAAATGATTATGTATTCAATGTTTTTCTGTTCAATTCCATCTTTGATTTTTATGGTTAAAAATATTTTTTTAGTCATATATGCCCAGCTACATTTTCTTCCAGTTCTTTAATTAGATACATCTATTATTAATTCATCACCCATTTGATACATGGTAATTTTTTTCATGAGGTAGACATGAAGTAAATATTCTGATTTTTAAATGTTTCCATTATAATTGGTTACCATTGTCAATTTTCTTATTGGTGCTGATACTTAATCGGTTTCTTAGTTTTCCAGGTAATAATTTATCTGCAAGTTAGTGAACTTAATTATTTAATAATTCAGTATTCTGATTGCCTTGTGCTGTTTCATTGAAAACTTCCAGTACAATGTTAGGAGGAGGAAATAAAAACAATGGCAATGGCACCAATCCTTCTCTTGTTCGTCTTTATATTCCTTAGTACATACGGAATGCGTTCTGACATAGAACTTAGTATTTATTGAAGAGTAATTTGTAATTTTCTGATTAATCAAGTATCTTTAATCTTTACAAGTTTGAAATGTATACGTTATTGTTCCCATTTTATAGATGGAGAAATTGAGGTTCAGGAAAGTTACACAAAATCCCAGGTCTAAGAAAAATGTCTCCCAGATTCCAGAGTGTTTCTATTATGCTCATAGTAGCTATTCAAGCATTAGAGGTAAGTTTTCCCGTGGTATCGCTGGTGTTTCTTCTTCCCACTTTCAAAACTAGAATATTAAAATAGCAAAAATCCCAACAGGCAAGAGAGCTATCGCAGTATACGGGTTAAGCTGGTTCTCCGCTGTAGTCAACGTCAGCTCTGTGGCGAGGCGGATTCTCCCAACAATAGCCCACACGATTTCCAGGCTTTTCTGGCGAGGGGCAGGCCGGAGTGTGGAACCTATCTGGCTGCGCCCGGACCCCAAAGACAGGAGACAGACAGTCTAAGTTCTCTGAGGACTCTGGTTTACTCCTCAAGGACCGACAGGCCTCTCCATTCCAGCCGCCTCCTCTCCGCCCCCTGCAGGCCGGCTGGAGGGACCGCCCAGGGCCCGGGTCCGCGAAGGGAGCACGGAACCAAAGAGCGCTAGCGCCGGTTCCACCGCCTTTCCACAAATCCCGGGCCGCTCGGCCCCACCACGGAGACTCGGCGCGGATTGTGGATCCCCTTCCGCCATGGCGCGGGTGCTGGTCGTGGGCGCCGGGCTGACAGGAAGCTTGTGCGCTGCGCTGCTGAGGAGGCAGACGACCGGTCCCTTGTACCTCGCTGTGTGGGACAAGGCTGAAGACTCAGGTGTGTTGTCTAAATGCCAAAACCTGGGAAAAGAGGCTGGCCGGGCCGGCTGCTGAGGCGGTGTGGGCCTGCACCTGAGTAAGTCTGAGGCGGAAACGCTAGAGACTCAGCACCCTGAGAGCTGCCCACGCGCTGAACTGCGGGCCTCGTCACGTGATCGGGAACTTCCGCCGCCTGGGAAAAGGCCCAAGAGGGGGCGAGGGTTGGAGCGGGGTAGGAGTATTCCGCGGTTTTCTGAGGGAGCCCTGAGACGGCGGCGTGGGAGAGGGCCTGACCCAGGTTTGCAAAGCTCAGGCCTATTGCTGTCCCTAAAAAATAGATTTTTGCCTTGGTCTGTCTGTTGACTTTGCAGCTTTCTGCAGATTATGAGGCTCCCAAAGTGATCATAGACCAAGACTTTCTGAAGATGTAGTTTGCAGAATCCTGTCATTCTGATGAAGATTGACTGCATAAATGAAAGAGCATTAGTTGACTCATTTATTCTGACATTTAATTAATCTTTTTTAGTTTTGTCCCCTCACTCCTATTACTAAATATATGCACTTTTATGGTGCTGGGCACTGCTACATTGCTCCTGACTCCTTTTCTTCTAAAATCTCACAATCCGATAAAATACTTCAGCTTAAAACAAATTAAGATATTTTTGAAATAATCCATTTGGGGTAACCTAGGGTGGTTTGAATTAATTGCTAAGGCTCATTCTAATGCAATAAGACATTTTCCTGTGGATTAATTCAAGGGGGAAGGATGACTACAGCCAGCAGTCCTCATAATCCTCAGTGCACAGCTGACTTGGGTGCTCAGTACATCACCTGCACTCCTCATTATGCCAAAACCCACCAAAGGTGAGTTAGTTGCAAGAGGTGGAATCAATCTTAGCAGTTGCATGGTGTAAAAAGATGCGAATCATCCATTTTTAACATGATTAAACTTGCCTCTTGAAACATGTCTTTGTTGATGGTGTTAGCAGTAAAAAGTTAAGTAAAATGGGAAACTCTTAACACCTACCTCAATAGGAGTGTTAAGATTAGATGAGCTGATAAATGGAACATAGTAAGCACTCAATAATCAACTCCTGTGTTGGTGTTATGGAAGAAGTCAACTAGCTGTGATGGGAGCCAATCTTCTTAACCAAATTTAAAATTGATGTACTAGATACATTTGTTTGTTTTCATTAACTTTACTTTTAAAATATACTTACAGAGGAATAGGCCTTTGAGAAAAGGTCTACAGATACTCAAAACATTTCTCTTTTTCACCTGTATTATGTTTTATTTAACACAAAATATACATTTTATTTAATATAAAATATAGGAATATTTCTAATTATGAATGAATTACAACCTCTGAGAATTATTGGAAGAGAATATAGTCTTTTAGAGTGAATCATGATACATAATTACATTAAATATACATATTGATTTATTTCAGTTTTTATGATGAACTGTTAGCCCATGGCATTTTGAGGCCTCTAACCTCGCCTATTGAAGGAATGGTGATGAAAGAAGGAGACTGTAACTTTGTGGCATCTCAAGGAATTTCTTCAATTATTAAGCATTACTTGAAAGAATCAGGTGGGAGTAAGATTTTCTCTGCCTAAAATTTAAAATAGCATTTAAAAACAAGTTATACACATAGTTACATATTAATACTGTACAGAGAGTTGTAAAAAGTAGATGTTCTATTCACTGACCAATAGCTAGTTCTTCCCGAAAGTAATCATTGATAAATTTCCAGTGTATATTTCCTCAACAATGTGTATGCATCTCCCTATGGAGCTACGTGGCTGTCTCTATTTATAATATAAACATTATAAATATATATACACACACATATTCCTTTATATTTATTCTTATAAAATATTCTCAAAGGGGATAATTTTATATAAATGATTCTGTACCTTGTTTGGCTCATATCTTGGATCTATTTTCACATCAGCAAAGTTACTGCAATCCATTTTTTTAATGATTATCTAGTATTTATGACATGTGTACCATCATTTACTTAACTATTAGCTTTCTGGTAAATATTTAGGCTGAATGGGGTTGGGAGATTATTTTGGTTTCTGCTAATACAAACAGTGCTGTGTGTCTATTGTTGACATGCTTTTTTGTAAACATATCTTTAGGATCAGTTCCTCACAGAAGAATAGCTATGTCAAACGGTATGTGCATTTTTAATTTAACTAGGTTGTGCCATGTATTCTTCTTAAAGAATATCTTACCAATAGTGATGAGAATGTTTCTTTCTCCACATTTGGGTATAATGGAAATTTTTAATTTTTGCCATTGTAATAGTTTAAAAATAGGATCTCTTTGTGGTTTTGATTTGCATTTCTATAATTATAAATGAGTTTATGCATTTTTTGTTTTATTAGCCAGCTCTTTGCAATTTTCTTCTGTGAATGTCTTATTTATAACCTTGCCCGTTTTCCATTAGGATTTTCGTTTGTTCCTTATATATCTGAGTGTTTTGAAAATAGACCTTCTAAAAAAGAAAATAGGATTTTTCTGGGAGGATAGATAATTATTTTTAAAACAGAAAGAAGCTTCTTCTCAGTCAAGATAACTGAGAAAGGATATAGGCTAAGAATTTTTTTTTTTAAATAAGCCATTCCCAGCATAATTACTGTTTTGGTTTTTATCATCAAATATTATTTATTGAGAACCCCAAGAATCCTGGATACTGGGCATCAGAGAGGTCAGTGGGATTGAATAAACAACATGACAACATAATAAATACCATTCTGGCTTAGACCATTTGTCTATTCAAGTATATAATGGTGTATTAAACCACTCCAGAGAAACAGAACCAATAGGATATGTGTATGTGTGTATATATCTGTGTGTACGCATGTATAAAATATATGTGTGTACGGATAAAGAGAGAGATTTATTATAAGGAATTGGCTCACTAATAATTATGGAGGCTAGTAAGTCCCAAGATCTGCAGAGCGATTCAGCAAGGTAGACACCCAGGAAAGCTGGTGGTGTAGTTCTAGTCTGAAGGCTGGTGGGCTCAAGACTCAGGAAGAGACAGTGTTTCAGTTCTACTCTGAAGGCTGGAAAAAAGCTGATGAGCCAGTTTAAAGGCTTTCAGGCAGGAAGAATTCTCCTCATGTGAAGGAGAATCAATGGGTTTGTCCTATTTAGACCTTCAACTGATTGGAGGATGCCCACCCACATTAGGCAAGGCAATCTGCTTTTCCCAGTCTACTAATGATAAATGTTAATTTCATCTAAAACATGCTCATAGAAATACCCAGAATAATGTTTTACCAAATATGTGGGTCAAGTTGACTCATAAAATTGACTTATCACAGATGGTGACACTGTTGACATTTTGTAGAATGTTACCATCAGCTTCATAGAGTGTCACCTATCACTTTTAAAAAAATCTTATTTTCACCATGATTTACCCTTGACCCAGGTTGGATGAGTATACTTATTGAAATCATAAGGTACTTACTAACTGATGTGCATGCATGCATGTGCAGGAGCTTAGAAAGTGATATCCCAAAATGAAGCCCTCAGAAGTAGCTCTCTCTGACTTTTTTCTGTTCGCCTGTCTCTGGCTTTGCAGTCATCCCCAAGGCTAGCCCTAGAAAGTAGAATCTCTTTTCCCAAGGCAGGTCATAGAAATAGGAAGCCCTTTCTCCCCAAACCAGCCACAAAACCTAAAACTATCATTTTAACTTTCCCCTCCCTTCCTTTGTAAAAACAGACCATAAAGAAATTACCTGACCTACCATGTTTGACTGTAGTTTCTAACAGTCCCAGAGAGGGTCATGACTTGTAACTGTGAAGAAAGAATGCTGCACAAAGAGGTCAAGAAGAATCTAGACAGACAGGCCTTGATGGGTTTCACCAGTCTGTTAGCAATAGATATGACCCTTTGGCCAATCATATTGCTGCAAAACTGTCCATACTTTGTTGAACCTAAGCATAAAAATTGACTCCTGTATCTATGAGTCTTCAGTCTGAAGATTTCTGTGTCATGCAAAACTATGATTAAGTAAATCTGTATGCTTTTTATCCTATTAATATGCTTTTTGTCAGTTGTTTTTTACTGAGCTTTCACTCCTGCACATGTATACATACATACATATATCCTTTTGTTCAACAAACATTTATTGAATACATACTATAATGGCAAACATTGCTTAGGTACTAATGATACGAGAACCAATGTCCTTGCTTTTATGTAGTTGATGTCCTGGCAGAGAAACATCCTTGAATACATTGCATCTGTCTCCTTATTTTGTTAGGTGTTTGGGGAAATACATGTGTTTTAACTTCCAATTTTGCTTTGTAAGCTTTTGAGAGAAGAGATTATTTTTAATTCCTTGTAGCTCACTCAGACCTAATCATACCTTGTACATAGTAGGTAGAGTGACATAAATGTTAAAAATTTATTTTACGTGGAGTTCATTTCATGGTCTGTTTAACTTGAGTTTATATAAATTTTTCTTTGCTTATTTTAATGTTATCTTTGTAATACTTCGAGATTCTTTTTCTCCTCTACCCTGATCTATTATTATAGGATTTGTTGGACCCTATCTGTAATATATTTAATTTTATAATTATATCCCTTTTAAACATTCTTTAAGTCACTTTAAAGCTTTCTATTCTATAAATGGTCCATAAAAAATTTTGGTTTTTCCACACTATAAGCAAAGACAGTCCCTAGAATCAGAATGACCCAGATTCCAGTTAATATCCTATCATCCCTTTCTGTCCATGTAATATTAGGAAAATTTAAAATCTGTACCTTGGTTCTTTCATTGAAAAAATGAGGATAATGAAATGAAAAAGTGAGAGTACTTACTACAAAATGTTGTCATGGCAAAGTGTTGTGAGGAATGGACAATATAATGCACTCAAATTTAAGCACATAGTAATCCAGTCACATAGTAATCTCTGGATAAATGTTAGTTTAAAAAATATTCTACTTGAATGAAGCTGACCTTCACATATTCCTCACTTTAAGAAATCAAATTGCCAACTCATTTCAAAAGTACTCTATATTTTGGAATCTAGCTGAATTTTAAACCCCACAATCTGATGGACCAACCAGTGGTCATATATACATTGGAACCAGACTCCCAGGGAAATTACCTGTCTGGGATATGCCTAATCAGGCATGCTTTAGAAAATGTTCAAACCTCTAAAGCCAATATTTAACTAGACCAATTTCCCAGAACAAGTAGTAAAGGATAGAGAAAATAGACACTTTCCTCTTGACCTTATGTTCTATTTTTATGTATTGTCTGATGTGTTCACATTGACCTTGTTGCAGAGAATTGTGTGTTTATTGCCATCAAGTTCAGTGCCTGCCTGCTTTCCCCATTAACACAATCTTCTTGAGTGAGTGAAGCATGATGTTCTATTGTTCTTTTTTGTTTTTCAATAATAGTTGTCATTGTGCTGGGTTGAGGTAATTTACAACAGCAAAATTATCAGTTATTATAAGTGCTGTCAGTTATTAAGTGCTATTTATCTGACACTACGTTAGGTACTTTACATACATATTTTCTAATTTTTACAGTAAACTTTCAAGGGAGTTAATCATCATCCCCACTTACTAATGCAAAGAATGAGACTCAGAGAGAGTAAGTACTTTGCCTAAGGTGGCTTGGCTAGTTGGTAACAGAAATGGAGTGCCCTTGAAATTAACCCTGTTGTTTTTTAACTCTCTCATGGAGGGCAATGAGAATTGCTCATACTCTCCAATTTAACATCTAGTTTGTAGAGGCTTATTTTTCCTTATTGATTATTTTTCTACAGTATGAAAATTGTACCCATTCCACCTGGTGCTACATGTCAGTAGCCACATGGCTCAATAGAACAACCTCATAGTTCCCTGTGCCCCTAGTTTCCCTCTTTCATCAGTTAATTCCTGACATAGAGGGAAGGGGATATTAAAGAGTAATTCCACCTTAGTTCTTTATGCAACCTGGGAAATTGGTCACCTGGTGGTTCCTGCCTATGACATTTGGAAAATGATGGGGCAGGTCCCTTTGCTTTTGAAGAAGATCCCATGTTATTAAATTATTGATAAAAAGATGGAGTTAGCCTCCAGGACACAGAGTAAGGAAGCTTTTATTTAGTTTGGCCTACCAAGAGGGAGGACTGTTACTTCATTTATTTGTTTTTATTTTATCATCTACCTAAAAAAGACATTGTCTAGTGATCTGGAAAGTCAACATGTGCAATGTAACCTGTCAAAGTTGACAGGATCAATGTATTAGAAAAAATGGTTTAGGTGGCAGATGCCATTAGCTAGGATGGCTTCTGTATGGGAATATTTACTTTTATTATTCTCTCCCTTTTTACTTTTGTGCCTATTTTCTTTCTAAAATTGATAGAGGAGAAGTCAGTCTGGGTAGTTCTGTCTCAAAATTTCTTCTGGCAAGTGATCCTGGCACTCATACCTAACAGCATCTTTTTTAAAGAAGCTAGAGGATGGCATGCAAACCAGGTTAAGCATTCTCCGATTCACTTCAAGCTGTGTATTCAGTTAGACATTGTTCACATCGCTTCAATGTCCCATCTGAGCTGTTCTGACTGCTGCTCACTAAAACCTATTTGTGGGAAATCATAGGAGAAAAATAAGCTTGGATTTTCTCCCTAAAATGGAGGAAGGCCAGGGATAAAATTGAATAAATATGTAACAGAAACACATTTGCCTTTGTAAAATGTTTAAACCTGCTTAGACTTCTGATATCTTTATAGCTATCTGCAGACCATTTTATTCTAATTAAATATGTGCTGGGGAACCAAGAGTCAATAAGAGACATGATCCTGGCCTCTGTTAATGTAGAGTATAGTGGGAGGAAAATGCATTGAACTAATTATACATACAAAGAAAAGCTACATGATAAGTATTAAGAAGAAAGAATGAGAGCGTTATGAGAGTGCTTGCAAGAAAAGGACCTAGACCAGTAGGTTTTAGAGGAGTGATGGGGTAGTTGTTTTAGGGAAAGCATTCCTGAGAAACTGACATTTTCATGGGTACCCGAAAGATGAGCAAGAGGAAATTAGGCTGAGAGCTGAATGGTTAGAGTTCCACGCAGTGGGCACATTAAATTGGAACTGCTCTGAAGTAGTAGGATGTGGTTAGTGCATTCAAGGAATAAAAGGTCATTGTGACTGGAGGGGAGGGAGTAAGGGAGAAAGTGGTAAAAGATGATGCTGGAGACTAAGGCAGGGCCAGATTATATGGGACTTTGTAAGCCATGTTAAAGATTTTATACTTTAAGTGCAATGGGAAGCCATTGAAGGGTTTTATGCAAGAGTGGGACATGGTCAAGTTTACTAAGCTCAGAAATAACTCTTAAGACAATTTATTTAGTTATCTGTTTTAAAATTGGGTTTTCCTGAGCTTATAGATTTAAACATGTAGTCTCTATGAAAGTTATTCATTACATTCACAAGGAAATGCCACTTTCCCAGAAACTGCTCCTAGCAGTTGGAAAGGAAACCTTTCCGGTTAGGGTATACCATTTCCTCCACCTCTTAATAACTACTACTTTTGGGGTTGTTTTACTAGTGGCATTTGATTTGGGCCTGTCCACCTACCCCAGTAGTTCTCTTACTTTAATGTGCATCATGAGAAGACTAAGGGAGCTTGCTAAACACAATTGCTAGGCTCATTTCCCAGAGTTTCTGATTCAATATGGTTGGTTTAGGGCCCAGGAATGTGCATTTTCTAGTACATAGGTGCTGCTGGTCTGCGGTCCATACTTAGAGAAACACACACACACCCCCCATGCAGAACACCTTGTGGCCTTTGGGATACATTTTCAAGGTATTCATCTGGGGCATGAAAATTGTTCTAGAACTGTAAACTTAAGTCCCTTAAACACACACACATTTCACCAATGATAATAGCATATTGCCCTCTTCAAAGGAATATTATGAGAAAACATAGAATCAGTTGACTTAGCTGAGGTCTGGGACAGGGCCATGGACTAAGTGAGGCAAGGAGGGTAAGATATCTTAAATAAATAAAAACAAAGTGAAGCAGAGCTGCTGCTGTTGGAATAAAGGGGATGGTGGATATGTGTTGAAAGTGCAGATTATTTGTACCTTCCCCAAGCAGGGGTCTTAGAAAAGCCCCCAGGCAAGATGGAGTATTGTTTATAAGTCCGTTATTCCAGTTGTTGAGATTAGAACACAATAATGCACACTGCCTTGAACGGAGATTGATCCCTTGGGCTAGCTAGAACCATGTTTCTTCTAACATTTACATTTCATTTTTTAAAAATTGGAATGCTTACTATGGTGTAGCATTATTTAAGGGACAATGAAAGAGATTAAGGTGTACGAGATCTGAAGACCTGACACGTAGGAGCCTTGAGTATTGTTACATAGATAAGATACAACTAAAGCAAGCAGATATTTTGAATCAATGTCAAAATGAGTAGTAAACGTAGTGATGGTTGAAGAATATCATAGAGAGGAAGGATCACACTGAGCTGGAGTGGCTACAGAAAGGAAGCTTCAGGATGAACTTAAGCTTTTGGTGACTAGGAACGTGGCTTTCCCAGGTAAAGATGAACAGGATCTTTCAGTGTGCTTTATTCCTCCCTCATTCCATCTTCAATTCTTTATTTTTCTATACACAAAGCTGAATAAAAGTAGATTTACTTGTAAATCAAAAGTTTTTGAAAACTGGAAGGTAAGTACTAGTTTACTAAGGAGACTTAATGACCCAAGTGTACTTTCTTTCACTTTATGATTCATAATTCATTCTTTTTGTTTTGTTTTATTTATTTTTGAGGCAAAGTCTCACTGTGTTGCCTAGGCTGGAGTGCAATGTGATATGATATCAGCTCACTGCAACCTCTGCCTCCTGGAAGCGATTCTCATGTCTCAGCCTCCTGAGTAGCTGGAATTATAGGTGACTGCCACCACACCCAGTTAATTTTTGCAGTTTTAGTAGAGATGAGGTCTCACCATGTTAGCCAGGCTGGTCTCGAACTCCTGGCCTCAAGTGATCGACCCACCTCAGCCTCCCAAAGTGCTGGAATTATAGACGTGAGCTACTGTACCTGGCCTCATAATTCATTCTTTTCATATAAATACATACCTAGTAAATTCTATGCTATATGTATACTATATGCTACACGTAGAAAACAACAGGCATAATTTGTAGCTCATGGGGTTTACAGACTAAAAGGAAAGACAATACTAAATAAATAATTATTAAAATATCCTTGTGTTAAGTGCTAAGAAGGAAAATGTGATGGCAGGGTACTCTAGAGTGTGTTTCTAAATTCTGATTCTTCTTAAGGAAGGCATTTGATCTATTGATTGCATTTCCCTTACAGTGATCTTTTTCAGGTCCTTTAATGGAAAATATTATTTCCTTTAATAGGGAATATTGCCCTTCTTGTTTCATTGCTACACGTTTACTTAAATCTATACTTGTTCTGCAAAGATGATGAGCTTTAAAGTTAGATGGGTGTAGTTTCAAATCATGGCATGATACTTCTCAATCTGTTTCCTTATCCATGAGATAAATTAGTATAATGTGTACCAAACAGTTGGCATGTAGTAGCTGCTTAATGAAAAGTAGCTACAGTTATTATTTTTATTTTTATCATTAATTGTGGAAGTAGTGTTTTATTCAGAGCAGGCACTGATAGGGAGGTCCAAGGATGCCATATAGGGATGAATTCCCACTAAATTAGAAAGAAAGTAAAGGAAGAGAGCTTGAAAACAGTAGAAGACAGTCTTGGCCACGTTATTCGTTTGAATGGATTCAGTTTGTGACTACTCACATCCCCCTCATTCATATATGAAATTGTGCTAATGTGATTATGATTTTGCTTTTGGAACAGGTGCAGAAGTCGGCTTCAGACATTGTGTGACCCAGATCAACCTGAGAAATGACAAGTGGGAAGTCTCCAAACAAACAGGCTCCCCTGAGCAGTTTGATCTTATTGTTCTCACAATGCCAGTCCCTCAGATTCTGCAGCTTCAAGGTGACATCACCAACTGTGAGTCTGCATTTGCCATTTATTTGCCTCAGGGAATAGGATTTCTTTGATAAAGCATGAATTTGGCTTAACTCTCTTAGCAAAGGTCAGGTGATAGACTCTATTGATTTGTCTGTCTTAAAAACTAATACTTATGGCCCTCTTCCCGAAACTAGTCTAGGCCAAGGTGAAACCCATAAAATTTCTTTTTTAAATTGGTTAAAAGTTGAACACTTTTCTTATTGCCGATGTCTTCAACAAGTCAGTGTTGTTGATGGATATGCATGATTTTGCCTAAAGGAAGAGCAGTTTTTAATGGCCATTTTTGAGAAAAGGTTTATAATGTATAAGTACTTGCTTGGATTGCCTCATTTCCTGTGTTCTTGCTCTCTGGGTTGCTCTCTAATCATAAGTACTTCTGTTTGAGGTAATTGCCTAGCCCTTTTGTGAATGAGAGGCCAAATTTTAATAAAGGAACTAAAATTCCAAGAAAATTTTTACCTCTTCTGTCTTTGGCTACCGCAATTAGTTTAGCATTATTCACTTTATCTTAGATAGTAAGCTTTGCTTAATTTCTTTTTGATATAAAACCTGTGGTGGTGAAAGTGTATGCAGAGTGTCTGATTTCCTATCTTTTCCCAAAGTAGACTCTAATTTACAAATAGCCAATTTAGAAATGTCATTTATATGCTTATATCTTTCCTAGTTGATAATAACTATTTACTCTTGGAGGTGGATACCTTAGGATTTGCTTAGGTAGATACCTCAGATTTTCTTTATGATTCCTGAGGGTTCCTGGTGCACTGCCACCAGAAACTTGTGATAAATCTACATACATCTTTTTCCTGCCACTTTAACTCAGCACGGGCGATATATAACTCAGTGAAGGTGGGATGGCAGTGGTAGAGTTCGCACTTTTACTGCCAGAAATGCTGGGGATAGTGAGAAGCAGAAGAGAACATGCTCATGGCCACGTTAAAATTTTTAGTATATATGTGAACAATGGGAGACTTTGGGTTTATTCTAAGCCAACTCTGAGATCCACAGGTCAACAGGACAATAGTATCAGCAAAAGGCACATGTGAGGAGTCTGAAAGCTAAAATTCCTGTACTAAGTATTAGGAAGGGATTCAGATATGAGAAACAAAAAATGAATAAAGGTATTAAGTACTGGGGCAGGAAGGATACATTTTTCTAAGAAGTTGCACTTGCTCAGTTAGCTTAGCTTTTGTTTCATCAGGCCAGTTTTCCTTACTGATACTGCAATCAGCTGACAGTGTTCATTTTAATCATAGAAAACTCAGAATTGAAGGAAGTCTTAGCATTTGGTCTCATCTTCGAGCCCTTGGATGAGTTCTCTTTTATTAAATCTCTTTATTGAGATATGATTGACATATGAAAAGTTATACATACTGTATACAGTATGGTGAATTTGGAGATAAGTATACATTCTTAAAACCATTACCACAATCTATGCCATAAACATATCCATCACCTCCAAAAGTTTCTTCCTTCTCTATTTTTTTCTTTTATAATAAGAATGCTTAACATAGGCCAGGTGTGGTAGCCCATACCTGTAATCCCAGCACTTTGGGAGGCCAAGGCGGGAGGGTTGCTTGAGCTCAGTTGTTTGAGACCAGCCTGGGAAATATAGCAAGACCTCATCAAAAAAAAAAAAAAAAAAAGTAGCAAGGTGTGGTGGCTTGTGACTCTAGTCCCAGCTACTTAGAAGGCTGTACAGTGGATCTCCAGGATTTATTTATCTTGCATAATTAAAACCTTGTACCTTTGACTAAAGTGCCCTGTTTTTTCTTTCCCAATCCCCTGGAACAAGAATTATATAAAAAGTCCTAGCTGGCAACAGTCTGGTGAGAACATTACCTTTAGAATGGATGTGCCCCATCAGTGTCATTTTGCCTCTGCCCAAGACTTAAATGTGAAGAGAGCATCCTATTGACCTGACATGGGTCTTGTTCCTACCCCATGTCTAGGGAATTGCAGCATCTTGGATTGTAATCCTATTGCGTTGCATGTAATCAGTGGGACAAAGTAACACCTCAAAATAAATATAGGTACGGTCATGAAGAGAACTTGTGTGCCTAGTAATCAAGAACAATGAGTGATCACTGCATAGGTATTCCTAAATATTTGTGAAATGAGTGAATGACTGATTGACTGACTGACCGAATGAATGTGTTTCCAAAAGACCTAAGGAGCTAACTAAGTTCACTGGTCCATATTACCTCTTCACATTCTCTATAAAAATCTCATTAACAGAATCCCATGATAGACTTTTTTCCTTATTTTTTTCATATTCTATTTTCATTAAATGTGGATTTATATAAAGAAGGAAAGAAAAACTCTATAATGACCATGAACCTTATTTTTTAATGCTTTTAATATACATCTGAATTTGGTTTGCTAATATTTTGTTTAGAAGTTTTTGCATTCATGTCCACGAGAGTGCTTGAGCTGTAATATTTTTTCTTTTATTAATTCCTCTAGTTGTTGGACATGGAGGTATGTAGTCCTCATAGAATTATTTGGGAAACGTTTCCTGTTTCTGTTTTAGGGAAGCATTTTTAATACAAGTTTCGTGTTATTTCTTTCCTAAATGTTTAGAAGAATTCACTAGTAAAACCATTTAGGTTTAGAGTTTTCTTTGTGGTAAAATTTTAATTTACAGATTCCATTTCTTAAACTTATCAGATTTCTGCATTTATTCTATTTTTTTCAATGTGCTAGAACACCATGATATAATCTTTATTTTTTTAACTTTTGTTTTAGGTTTGGGGGTACATATGAAGGTTTGTTACATAGGTAAACGTGTATCAATCTTGTTCACATGGCTAACCAATTATCCCAGTACCACTTATTAAATTGGGAGTATTTTCCCTATTGCTTGTTTTTGCAATAGACCTTATTATTTAAAATACTAGTTGTTTATGCTTGAGCTCAGATCTCAAAATTGTGTTTACATAATCCTTTGACTTTCATTAATTTAATTCTATATGTTCATTTTAATCCATTTACTTTTTATCAATCTACTTGTTTTCAAATAGTATGTTGTTCTGTATGGAGTCCTATTTTCCAGGAAAGAAGGGTGTCCTGAATCATGCCAGGAATATGAATTGACATCTTTTTTGGTACTCCAGCTGCTCTCTCTCTCTTACATCCAGTGTGTCTGGAAAGTCCAATGTGATATCTATATGCCCTAGAATTGAAATCTTAAATCTTTGAGAGAACTTCAGATTTCTCATAACTTTGCTGTTACAAAAAAGAAAAAAAGATGACATCTTGGTTTTTTAAATTGGAATACTTTCCTGTTAAAACACTAAATATCTAAAACATCTATTTCAGTACCTTTTCAGGTCTCTGAACAATATAGCTAAAAAGAGGGTTTTGCTTCCCTTAACAAAGTTGTTTTTTTTGTTTGTTTGTTTTGTTTTTGTTTTTGTTTTTTTAGAAAATTGCTTGGTAATAGCTATCTCTAGGCCTGACAAAAATAACTAGAAGGATACATCATATTATGTTCACATAAAGGGCCTGGGGACAGAATATTCATCCTGCCTTTGGTGGATTTTTGTTGCTATTGTTTTGGTTTGCTTTTAAACCCACATGAGATATGTATGTATCAGAATCACCTGTAAGACTTGTTAAAACACAGATTACTGGGCCACAGTCTGAGTTTTTGGTTGAATGGAGGTATGCATGGAAAATTTGCATTTTTTGAGAGTTTCTAGGTGATGCTGAAGGTTCGGTTCAAAGCCACACTGTAAGAATTATTATTAATACCTTGTCTTAGCAAATATACTTGTTTCTGGAACAGAGCAACAGATGTATCTTCAAAACGTGACTCACCTTGTAAACAAGTGATGCTACTGTGCAGCCAGGGTTGAGAATTGCGGTCATAAAGTATCAGCCTGTCCAAACAATTTGTATCTCTTTTCCTCACATTTGCACCTTTGCTTTGCATGTATTGATCATATGAACCCCTGACACACCTCATCTTGGACTGGTCTTGAGTCTTTGTCTTATGCTTCTCCCTGCTTGGGACTTCTTGGCTGTCCTCTTCCTTGACTTCTTCCCCAACCCCTAAGACACACCTCTTAAAAAAAAAAAAAAAAGCAGCTTTAAGATATAAGTCATGTACCATACAACTTACCTATTTAAAATGTACAATTCAGTGATTTTTAGTGCAATCACTGATATAGGCAACCATTATCAATGTCTGTAATTAGTAAATTTTGGAACATTTTCATCCCCTCAAAAAGAAATTCTGTCCCCTTTAGCTATCACTTCCATCCCTCCATCCCCATTTCTGCCCCTAGCCCTAAGCAATCATTAATCTGCTATCTGTCCCTATAGATTTCCCTGTTACCTGGATTTTAGAGAAAAGCTCATGATGGAACTAGAGGCCCTCATCCTTGACAAACTAATGCAGTAACAGAAAACCAAATACGAGATATTCTTACTTTTTTGTGGCTCTGTTTTGCCACTATCTGCACAGATTTCACTTATTTTCTCCTGCTTTCATCATGTCTGACTGACCCTGGCCCAAGTCATTGAATTGTAGAGGATACCTCATCTTTCCTTGAAGCTCATGAGTTATAACAGTCTGGTGGTAGTGGACAAGGCTTCAGGGCTGTGGGATTGCCATGGATATTGACGTGCCTGTAGCTTTTGACTTTGTTGCACAGCTAACATTGACACTGGATTTGATAGAGAAATGGCCTTTTATGCCCCTAATAGAAAGAAGACTGGTAATATGTTTTATAGATCTTAGATTTAGAACTATAGAAGAAATTGTTTTCTGAGGAAGGGCATAAAATTTTGAAAGCGATTTTTTCCTTGAGTATCAGTTCTATGCAGAAATAATATAGCTTATTTTCTAGTACAGTGTTTGATAATAATACAGAAGGAATTGGAATATTTACTAGATACCCATAGGCAAAGTGGGAGACTAATTTGAATGATCTCTTCATGAATCTACTTCAAGTTTGTTGCCAAAGACATTTAAA